ACTCCAGTGACTTCTTCTGTTTGCTTCCATTCAGGGGCTGACATCGACTTTTTCAACAGTGTCTTCTACTTCACCACGACGCAGCCGGGCGCTGGAATTTTCCTACCCCTGTCCAAGGCCCTCAAACAGGCTCCCGGATCTGCAGGATTTCCCCTGACGCCTACTGGGCCCATGCCGTCGGGTGGCCTGAAGATGGGAACCCAAAACTCCACAAATTACACGCCTCCTACGCCCTCGATGTCAAAGTTTAGCCAGTCTGTCGGTCCCGGCCGCGCTCCAAGCCCTACTGGCAGGCGACCGCGACCCTCACTTCCGCGACCGGAGTCGCCGATGAGAAGACTTCAGATGACGCCTGCACCGCGGCCGTCTATCGCAACCCCCGGTCCCAAAACCCAGTCCCGGTTCGGCAGCCCGACGTCAAACAAGTTTGCGCAAAGTGTGCGCGGCACGGCGGGTGATCCGAGCAAGAGGCTTCCCGCGCATGCACGGAAAGGTAGTATCGGACCGCGTAGCGCCTCGGCTCTCGGGAACACCTCGTCATCGGGCCCGAACTTTACCGACGATGAGACGACACCCGTGCAACGAACCAAGACGCCCGGGAACCTCGGGCATAATGGGTCCATGGGCCTGAAGCTGCGCCCGATGTCAAGGGCTGCATCTCGGGCTGGCACCATCAACGATGAGGAGATGGAGAGGCTCAGGTCCAAGCTTGAAGACCGTGACCGGCAGCTCAGAGAACAAGCCTCCACGCTTGCCGAGATGGAGAGCAGCCTGACGGAGCTGCAGGGGCTGATAGAAAACTCGGACGGGCCACCAGGACAGCAATTACGAAGGGGTAGTATAGACGATAAGGACTCGGCGCAACTTCGAGCACTTCTGAGGGAGAAGAACGAAAAGATCGCCATGCTCACAGCGGAGTTCGATGCGCATAGGGCCGACTTCCGGAGCACCATCGATACCCTGGAGATGGCTAGCACCGAGACGGAACGAGTCTATGAGAAGAGGATCGAGGAGCTCATGCAAGAAACGCAGGAGCTTCAGGAGAGAACTGCTGACGTGGATACGGTTGCTACGCAGCTAAAGCAGCTCGAGGAGCTAGTGCAGGAGCTTGAGGAGGGGCTTGAAGACGCACGAAGAGGAGAAGCCGAGGCTCGTGCCGAGGTCGAGTTTCTGCGCGGAGAGGTCGAGCGGACACGGTCCGAGCTCCGCAGGGAACGGGAGAAGGCCCAGGTTGCTATTAACGGTGCAAACGGCTCTCCGAACGGCGGTTCCATGTCCAAGGAGCTCGAGCAAAAGGAGGATGAGATCAGAGGCCTGAAAGCCATCATCCACTCGCTCAGTAGGGACTCGGTGCCAAACAATAACCCCGAGAGGCCACCTAACCAGCGCAACTCGTCGTTCCGCTCAAACCAGGGTGAATCCATTGAAGAGCGGCTCAACCGCGAGAAGCTCGAGCGAGAGCTCTCTGAGTTGCGGGTCGTCCTCGACAGCAAGACCAACCGCGAAGAGGAGCTCGAGCGCGAAATCGAAATGCTGCGGAGAGGAAGTGCCGTAACGGCGAACGGGCCGGGCCACCGGGGCAGTGCCATGACAACCGGCAGCGCCAACGATCGGAATTCATTCCGCGACTCGCGCGGCACTGTGGTACTTGCTCCACGCAGCCCCGAGGCGCCGCATAAGACCATGGCCAGCCTCCGTCACAGCCGCGGCCATACGCTCGACACCATGCCCGAGAGCGACTCGTACAGCACAGCGACGGAGAATAGTACTCTCTGGTGCGAGATTTGCGAGACCTCGGGACATGATATTCTCACATGCACCAACATGTTTGGCCCGGAGCAACAGCAACAGCAGTTGAGCAAGGAGACGGCCGAAACTGGGGAGCGGGAGGCGGTCCGCCCGAGCTTGGATAGCCTGATCGTCCCCGGTGTGCTTGATGACATCAAGCCGGCACCTCTGTCGCCCGTCAAGACCAAGACGCCATCTTTTGGACCAGCGACGGCCGTCAGGATCATTCCGAACCCGATGGACCAGGGTCCGGTAGCGGGCAAGGAGAGTGGCATGGTTGATGCGGCCAAGTGGTGTGCACTGTGCGAGCGCGACGGCCACGACAGCGTTGACTGCCCGTTCGAGGACGCTTTCTAAACGGCTGGCCTGTCCTCGCCGCACCTAGGCCTCAGGCGCCCTTGCGCCCTACCTCATGCCTCGGCACTTGCATCCCTAATCGCGTACAAATTTTGTAATTCCATGACGTTTATTCAAACATGATATCAAGAGGGAGGGGGGATAGAAGGAGAGTGTGACGGCTATGGGGCGGTTTGTTGGTATTTGTTTGTCCCTCTATGGACACAACGCGACCTATGCGCTATGACTTGCAAGCCTTTTTTTGTGTAGTCCATTCAGTTTATTGTGTTACTGTACATGGAGGTTCTTTGTGGGTGGAACGTTCAAGGAGGATTTGGCCCAATATGACGGGACAGAATGGGTGGATGGATCAGTGAGGGGAGTGGGCAAGGATGAGGTGTTGATTGAGTCAATGATACCAGTTTCTGTGCTGCGTTGTGTTTGCATTTTGGCGTTACAAGAGTGTCTGTTAGCCGGTGGTTGGCTAACTTGGAATGTATGGTCCAGAAAGAAGCCTTTCGTAGCAGTTCTGTGAGATACCGACATCTATTGAAATGCCTTGAAAAGGGGCATGTTTGGTATTGTGTTGCGGCCAAGTCAACTGCTGCCGTGCTGACAAAGAATATTTTGGTGCAGGAGCCCTGGCGTAGCTCCAAATTTGGCTCTGGGAAGGCCCCTGGAGGTAGTCCGTAGCCTCACACGGATCGCCGGGCCGCTGGGGTCTCGTAATGTGGCGCAGACCTTCTCTCTCGTGCATTCACATCGTGGCTGGCGCGTCGTTGTCAAGCTGGCATCTTGTCAGACTACAACTTTTTTACTTTTTTTATCAACGATACACTATTTGCGACTCTACACACGCTTTTGATACCCAGACGGTTCACAGACGTTGCAATTGGCGGTCAGCGCAGTTATCCGCAACCGACGAAGCCGGAGCCGAATTCAGAAGCGGATCCTTGAATCGGGAACGGGAACGAGAATCCGGAACTGGAGCTGCCCCAGCTCAGACAATCTCGCGGTCCTGACTCCTCCCCTGACCGAGTGAATTGGCAATCGCAGTTCCATCACAACAACTGCCCACCATGGCGCATATCTTCTTCGACATGCTCTCATCGCTGGGAAGCTGCCTCAACTGCTTCCCGAGTTCGCCGACGCTCAAGATTAACAGCCGCAGCTTCAAGATCCTGCGACTCCTGGGCGAGGTACGTCCCATCCCCCCCTCCTCCTCCCACCTCCCACCCGCTCAACTAACATGGCTCCTCCTCCCAGGGCGGCTTCTCCTACGTCTACCTCGTCCAAGACACGTCGACGGCCGAGCTCCTCGCGCTCAAAAAGATCCGCTGCCCCTTCGGCGCCGAGTCGGTCGCCCAGGCCATGAAGGAGGTGGAGGCGTACAAGCTGTTTGGCGGGTGTCCGGGCATCATCCACAGCGTCGACTACAGCGTCGCCGGCGAGCGCAGCGATCCCCAGAGCAAGACCGTGTACGTCCTCCTGCCGTACTACCGCCGCGGCAACCTGCAGGACCTGATCAACGCCAACCTGGTTAACCACACGCGCTTCCCCGAGAAGCGGCTGATGCTGCTGTTCCTGGGCGTGTGCAAGGCCCTGCGCGAGATGCACCAGTACCGGGGTCCCGGGGCGGGCGCGAGCGCCGAGCGGATGGAGGTGGGCGGGGCCGGCGTGGGCGTGGATCGGAACGTTGCCGCGGCGAAGCGCACGGCCAAGAGGCCCGATGCCGCCGCGGGCGCGGATGAGGATGATGAGACGGAGCAGCAACGCCCGCTCATGGCCGAGGAGGAGGGCGTGCACACCGGCGGCGCCGGCGGCGTGCGGAGCTACGCCCATCGGGATATCAAGCCTGGTTCGTTGTCCCAACCCCTTTTACCACATCCCCATACTAACCCCCTTCGCTAGGAAACATCATGATCTCCGACTCGGGCTCCGAGCCGATCCTGATGGACCTAGGCTCCATCGCCGACTCCCCCACCCCCATCACCAGCCGCTCGCTTGCCATCCTGACCCAGGAGACGGCCGCCGAGCACAGCACCATGTCGTACCGCGCGCCCGAGCTCTTCGACGTCAAGACGGGCACCGTCATCGACACAAAGGTCGACATCTGGTCCCTCGGTTGCACCCTCTACGCCTGCCTCGTCGGCAAGTCGCCGTTCGAGATGCGCTCCGATGAGACGGGCGGCTCCCTCAGCATCTGCGTGCTTTCGGGCGACTGGCGTTTCCCCGACGAGGGGCCCGGCGCCAAGAAGAACAAGAACAAGGGCTCGGGCTCGGCCGCGGCCCAGGGTACGGGTGGTGCGCCTGGTGCGCCGCCGCCGCCCGAGGATGATGAGGCCATTAGCGAACCCATCCGCGAGGTCGTGCGCAAGTGTCTGAAGGTTGAGCCGAGTGAGAGGCCCGATATTGATGAGCTGATTGAGCTGGTGGAGCGGGTTGTTGAGGAGCTTCCCGAGGATGGGGCGGCGTGAGATGATGAGGCATGGTTGATTTGGTGGTGGTGTTGTTATGGTCTCATGTTGGTCACGAGTTCTGGCGTTTTGGAGGGGGGGGCATGGCGTTCTTTTTGGAAGGGATATAACCTCGAGGTTCTTGTAGCATATTTGCATTTCTCTTCTTTTTCTTCCGCAGCGCAAAATTGTGTTAGAGTTGGATTGTGAGGGGGCCGATGATATTGGACAGCCCCCCCCTTTCATCGCGGTAGACGGCAGCGGGGGTGTGGCTATAGGATACGCAACTGACGAGGCCGAAGCCTGAGTCAAGTCTAAGATGATGCCCTTTCTGTAAGGTGTTCACAACTGTGGAAGCGATTGGCGCCACGGCGTTTGTGTGGTGGGTTTGGATCCTCCACATCATCCAACAATACATTAGGGCGTGTGGTTTAGGGGTATAATGTTCGCTTCGCAGCTTTCGAGTTCGCAATTGTGAAAGGTCCTGGGTTCAATTCCCAGCTCGTCCATCTACATTATCAGAGTCCTCAGGCCTCTACCTGAGGGTTCTATTTTGCTCTTCTAGTTTAGTCTGACTGTAGAGTCCGGATCGTATAAGAAGGGGGAGAATGAATGAATGCCCTTGTTTTAGTCAGAAAATGTGTGTACTTTATGTGGAAGACCGAGATAAGACAGGACACGCAAAAGTCACGGGATAAAGTCAACTACCTTTTAAAGGGTGAGCCGAGCGGAGTAAACACCTAGCTAATCCCCTACTCGTTTTATTATCCTACCAAACCGCCATATTCAAACCCAACCTCCCACCCCTAGATCATCACCATTAACGTACCTGCCCGACATACCCTTGCCAAGTATCAACCCCTCCCAGCCTGACCGACTCCGAGTTCGCTAGATGCAGAAAAGGGGCAGCGCTAGAAGACGCAAGAATTTCCGACCAACGACGCTAGAAAGCCCAACCAGAACGACAAAGTAATTGCGCAGGTAAACCAGCGGTGTATGATATATGTGTGCTCTTCCAGACATTATCAGTTAGGGAACCGGCCAACAGACCAAAAAGCAACAGGCAGGGGTAAACCAAAATCCGATCTGCCCAAGATGCTCGACCCGGGGTATCTAATGTACAAAATATACAGCTAGGGAGCAAAAAGGAAACAAATAAAATCAAAGTGTACGTCGCTATCTATATGTTATTAAACCATCAACTAAACCGATCAGTGGGCGCAATGTCGTGCTAACTTGCGAAGTGTGTGATATGGTTTAAAACCGGGACGGGTATCAGAGGACATGTCTCGTATGCGTCGTCAAAAGCGAGCAAGTCATCGTGGTGCAGCAGAAAGCACCGACCGCCGTCATATCTGCATATGCAGTCCCTTTTTCAACGTCAATTGACTCAGGCTCAGGGTCCTCGCAGCCTTTTTGCGTTTCGGGTCATCATCGTCCTCTTCCTCATCGTCCGGGCGCAGCTCCTCGCCAAATGCACCGTAGTTGTGAGGCGGCTGGAGATCCTCCAACGGTGTCTGAAAAGCTTCAGTGAGATCCTCATCATCCACCGCCTCGGACTTCCGGGGCGCAGTTTTCGCCACCTCGGGCTCTTCCTCATCCTCGTCATCTGTCTCAAAACCAGATAATGGCTTCGGTATTTGGGCCGATGGCGGGACAAAGAGCGTCTTTGGAGGCTGCAATAACGGTGAGTTTCCGCCTGCCGAGGGGGTAAGCCGCTCCTGGGACCGGGACTCCGAGGGGCCACGAATCATCGCAAACATAGTTGTGGACAGGGCACTGAGGCGTTCCGACAGCTTCTTGACCTGGGCCTCGAGTGCCTGACGTGCCGCGCGTTCCTCTTCCAGCTGCGCAAGCAGAGCAGCGTATGGATCGTCGCTACTGCTGACGTCACGGCCCACAGCCGGCAGACTCGTAGTACCGCGCATGGTAGAATTGGATATCGGGCTGGGAAGTGGATCAAGCACAGACGGTGCCGTCGCGGTGAGCGATTGGGACTGCGTCGCCGAGGAAGAGGGTGGGTGTAGTGATCCGATGAAGGTTGGCGCTTCGCCAAACGAGATCTGGGACTGTGAGTCGCTCTCAGCTGAGTGGTGTGAGCTCGGGGGCCGAGGCGGTTCTTTCAGGTCTATCGATATTGGCTTGGAGAGGGGGGGTATCACAAGCGATGTGGTAGTTATGTCCGGAGACGTGGTGTGGTCAAAGCCAGCGGCTGTCTCACTCAGGGGCGCCTTGAACCCTGGCACAGCATGACACAGCTGATCCACGACACGCTCCAGCTTGTTCGTGCGCGACTCCACGGTCCCAATGCGAATGTCGATGCTTGCCGCTTGCGTAATCTTCATACCAACCATGTCGTTCGTGATGTTGCCAAAGTTGAAGGGCTGGGGAGGCGTTTTGGGCCGTCTCTCAACCGCGGGGCTTGGCGGCGCACTGGCATCGAGCATAGCCGTGTCATCTTCTGGCGGGTTCGACGACAGTGGTGACATCAGCCCAGGGTTGTAGGACTCGCGCCAGAACCGTATCTCATCGCTTCGACGCCGACCGCCGGTTTGAGCTCCCACCAGATCTTGCAGTCCCGAAAGGCTCCGAGACCGCCGCCGCGCGCCATTACCGCTGTCACTTGTGATGGCACGGCCGATCTCGTTCGGATCCTCAAACTCGCCGGGTGCTATAAGCCTGCTGCCGCGACCATGCGTACTGGCTGGTCGCGGCGACAGCCCGGCTCCCCATTCTGGATTCCGCATCCGTGGCTGGAGCAAAAGACGGCTCGTCGTTGTAGCTGCACGCCGCCGACCTCCCGGCCCTATGGTAGTATGGCTTCCCCTTGCCTCGGTCTGTAGTGAGTTACGCGCACTGTTGATGGCCAAGATATCGTCTGGGCCAATCGAGTGCGAGCGTAGCGGGCGGTCGTATTCAGTAAGCGGGAGAGAGGTCGAGCGCTTCGGCGACCTCTCCTTGGACCGGCCTAGCGCAGTGGGATCCTGGATGCCGCCCAATGTCAACCTTGAACCATCGCAAAGATGCCGCGGACTCGGCATAAGCACAGTACTTACACTCCGGTGCTGCGACGAGCCCATAAGCCCGGACTCGCGCCCTGACGTGGCACCACTTTCTTGCGAGCTGGTGCTGTTCTTCTTTTTGCGTCCAAACAGCCTACCCAGCGCCGACCGCAGTGTCGACTTCTTCCGCGTCGGGGTATCCTTGCTTTGGTTCGTCTGCCCGCTGGGAGCGTCGCTGATTGTTGAGTAGCGAATTGTGCTCAGCGGGGGGTTAATTGACCGAGCTACCGACGGTGACGTCCTTGCTCTGAAAGGCGAAGTCCTCGGCGGCGAGACACGTTGTGGAGAAGCTCGTTGCGGAGAGACCGTCTGTGGCGGTGTTCGCGATGCCGACCGGCCAATTGATACGCCCGAGCCAGAAGGGGGGGCCGGGGGTGGATTCGTCGGCGCTTCCGGCTGAATATCCTGTGTCACGTCCGTGCGACCGCTATCCGGGGCGCCGGCTGCCGAAGGGCCGGTCGTCGCCGGAACTTGCAGCAAGTCTTGCTCCCTTTCGTGCTCGCCTAGGTGCACATCTCTGTATTCGATGGATGGTTCATGTTGCTCTTCTTGTTGCTCATGCTCGAGTTTGAGCAATGTGACGGCGGCGTCGGGCTCCGAGTCGGGCTCGGTCGGCGGCACCGCGGTTGCGATTCCGGTGCCCGGGTTCCGCATCGGGAACTCGTCGTCGATTGTCGTCATCGCTTTCGCCGATCCTGGGTTCCGAATTGGAAACTCGTCGTCGTCAAGGACGCTTGGTATTGGAATCGGCGCCGAGATGGTGCCGCGTATCGATTTGTGGCCCGGCTTGGCACGGCCGGCAACAGCGCCGGGTTTCCATAAGCTCGGCATGGTGTTCGGCTCAGCTCGACAAGTCCGCTAACTGGTAATGGCGGCGAGGCTGACGAAAGTAAAGTTGGCCGGGAGAAAGAGAGGCAGCGACGGTTGAATAAGACTGTCGACCCCTACGAGCCATCTGGCAGAGCCGACGAGCCAAAGGCGAAGGCCGACTGAGTCGCGGTGTGTCGTTGGCGCCCTGCTTGGATGATCCGGGGGGGGGGATATAGTTCCCTCTTCAACGTCTTACCGTCCCGAGTTCCACATTGTTCTCTTGGGGTGTGGTTGGCAGTTTCGAAGCTGGTTGGGGCGGCAGGCCCAGGGCCAGTTGGTGTCGTGTGCGTGCCCTAATCGGTCTATAAAGGGGGACTGCTCCGGATAGGTCACGGAGTGCTTCTGAGGAGCGACTACTGTACGTCTGGTTTTCTTGCTGCAGAAGGAACGGTGGGCGGTTGTGGCGAGAGGAGATCAAGGCTCAGTATATGGTGCGTATGGTGCAGTATAACATGCAACCATTGGATGGCTCGTTCAGCAAGACGGAGCAGACGGAGCAGGCTGGCCCACTGCGTCAGGTAGTATCATATTCGACGCTCGCCACGGGTTGGTCAAGACAGAGCTGCACAGGAGCCGGACCAGCAGCAACAACAGCAGTAAACAGCATGCGCAAGCGGAGACGGCCCCAATCAGACAGGTGAGCAGTGCCAATGGTAGATATTAATGTCCAACATGCTGCGCCGAGGAGAGATGCCGAGAAGGGAAGCCAGCAGCCAGCAAGCCAGCAAAGCCCGACATGGCATGTCTAGGCTGTGCTGCAAGAGCAAGGATAGGTCGGATGCGACGGTGATGGAGGGGACATGAGGGGTGCACATTTTTGGGGCCGCAGGCCGGAGAGTGGAGAAGGGGCGTGGGCCTTGACTCCCTTGTTCCTCTTTCAACTCGCCCTTGCTGAGTACCTCGTAGCCCTTGGCCCTTGGCTCTTTGGGGGGTGGGTTGTGTTGGTGTTGCTGCCACTTCTGCTGCTGCTGTGTCTGTGTGTTTGATCTATAGTCGTCGGCTCTGGGTCTCGGGCTCCCCAGGGGGGGCAGCCTCAATCCGGCAGCCGTGGAGGCGGGACGCGGACACTATACTACTTGGACGCAGTGAGATGGGACGAGGCTCGTCAGGCCCGTCTGTCTGCGCTTGCATTGTGAGATGGAACAACAGCGCCCTGTGGCCTTGTCTCCCTGGACGCGTCGCGGTGAGCGTTGTGGGTGACGAGCAAGCAAGCGACACGCCCGATGCAGACCTGCAGGCGCGCCTGCTTCATGTCTCGAACGACGAGCATGACTGGTTTGAGCGCCCTCAGCGCCATTTCACGGCGACAAACCGAGTCTAGTGGTGGGCGTGGGCATGGGCATGGGCGCTCGGCGCGGGTGGTGTTGCCGACAGAACAACGACGAGACCTTGAATGGCATCCCCTGAACCATTTCTGCCCATTTCTGTTGGCTGGCCCCATCTGCGCGGGGGTTGCTGGCGAAGTCGCCACTGCGTCACAGAGCCAATGGCCAGCCTTCGAGCCGTATCTTGCGCGGCTGGTTTGGCGCATTGTGGTGCAACCCAAACCTCCCCTGGCGAAGCTCGTGCCGCTTTGT